TTATTGGGGGAAACTTATCTTCCTGATGACCTATTGGTTGCTAGTCAGAGTTCGGGGGCACACCCCTCCAATCTTTCGAACTCCACTGCTTCCCAGAATGCAGACTGGGGTCACCTCCTCCCACATCTCCATGACCTTGACACTCAAGGAGACAGGTTGCCTGCCTAAAGCTCTCCAACATAACAGAAATGAGGGAAATGTGTGAAGGTTCATGAACATCAGTTTCCTTGTTATCCCTTTGGTTTTCACATGTAAGGAAATAAAGATGAGAGAAACTGGGAGCCCTTTTTCATAAGGTTTCAGAATCTCCTGCTTTTAGTCTTTTGGGAACTCTTTACTACTAAATGGAGGACTGTCCTTTTAAAGATTTTGAGATAGCTCCTTACCATTGAGAAAATTAAACCATTCTGACAATACCTTTTGCCAGAAATTTAATGTAAGTTACTGCAGAACCCAGTTCTTCTGTAGTGTTGATAAAGATAAGTATTCTCTTGTCTTTTTTTATTACTTCCTACCTATAAATTTGATATCTGCTTTAGAAACTTTCAAAGCAGGAAATAATTCTGGAGAACATTTCTGGTTTGGAGCGTGATATTCATAGTCTTTTATTGTAAAATCATATTTCTAGACATCCTACCTTGTCTCCAAGTTTCCATTAAATCTCAAAGGAATTGCACCTTCCCTTTGATATATTTTTTAAAATCTCTCTCCTAATACAGGGAGTCCTTGACTTATGACCTTTTACTCAGTCATCATTCAAAGTTACAAACACGCTGAAAAAAGTGGCTTACAACTGGTGGCCGAAGTTATGGCAGTTGCAGCACCCCTGCAGTCACGTGAACAAAATTTGGGCACTGGGCAGCCCACCCATACTTTCGACCGCAGGAGCACTTCAACTCCCCCTACCCACCTATCTAAACAATGGTGTTTAGCGGGAGAGTTTAAGAAGAAGGCCTTTAAAAACAAATTTCTGACTTAATAGCTTGTCTTTTCCAAATAGAATCTAAGAATGGAACATGAAGGAAAAAAAAAAAAGATTTTGTACCAATGTGCTTAAAAAAAAAAATAGAATTAATACACAAGATTCTGCAGTCATGAAATCCAATGGAAACAAAGTAATGACAATTAAAGATGTAAATAATTGATTTGAAAACAAACAAAAAATAATGTTTATCCACATTTTCACATCAAACTGAAGGGAAGGGTCAAGTGAGATTCCCCTGAGTTCAGTCAGTCCAACATTAAGTATTGAGAAGGATATAATCATAATATATGTCTGTAAAGTGAAAGGAGTTATGTGCTAAACTATTTTTTTCATACACAAACTTTTAATTGTCCATAAAATTGATCCTCTAAGATAAACAGTATAATAATGCTACCTGGCTTTATGCCTTAGATACTAGGTTATTTGGAGAAGAGCTGATAAAGGAGGAGATTATATAATATAAATTTAAAGGACAACATAAAGAACCCAAGATTACTAATTTGGAATGCTACCACTAATATTTTAAAGTATTATTTATCTATCTGCAAAATATATTAAGAAAATAATCATAGTACTTCTAACAACAACATGTGAGAATTAAGGCTACTTCATATTAATTTAACATCACAGTGCTAAAAAATGGAAAGCTAAGGATGATCAGGAAACAAATCTGCCCCATGATCTACCAAGTAAGTAAATGCCATTTCTGGTATTGTGTTCATCATGAAACCACACCTTTCTTTGGCCTTTCATGCTAAATTCAGAGAGGGAGGTTTGCTTGAATTTTTTAAAAATATATATATATACCATGTCTTTCTAACAGGTGTACAATGAATTGTCTTAAGTGCCACATAAATCTTCCTGTATTCCTGGAATAATGCTCTTGTGTGAATTATGCTCCGAGACTATTCACTGCTTACAGTTTTAAGTAACATCATTTCATCACCAAATATATACAAAGTTTATATTTGATGTTTATGTTAAGAATCTTTATGACAGGTACAACAATAAGAAGAGCAAAAACTAAAAAATCAAAGAATGTCATAGTGTAGAACATAAAAACAAAACCACAACAGATTAGACAATTATAATGAAGATGTTTTAAGGATTAGATAAATCATTCAGACAAATCTTAGCATTTAAATACACTGAAATCAGCATACATAATTTTACAGAAGAGGTAAGAGATTGCAAAGGAAATTCTACTTCCAAACAGCTAGTATCAAAACTTTTTCAAATAATGTGTGTCTTTGAAAACAAATCATCATGCACTTTCATGATGGGAATGAAACAGGCAGAAAGAGGTGAAGGACAGTTGAATTTCAATCTTCACCCAAAGGGTTGCTATATAATTTTATTTCTACTACGATCCTAATCAGAATCCTCAGCCATCATCTGTAAATAGAATAGGGTTCAGTTTAAACAGATTAGGACACCACAATTTCACACTTACATTCAAAACTTGACTAGCTAATAAACTGAAAAGAAATTGATACTTTCAAGTGACTTCTGCCAAAAATCATCATTTTACCACAAAGTCGTCTTAGGGCTTTGTGAACTTCTTTGTTTCTTAATGTATAGATTAGGGGATTGACCAAAGGTGGCATCACTGTATAAAAAATGGAAAATATTTTATTGAGATGTCTCAGGGTGGGAGAATCTGGCAACACATAGACAATGATTAATGTGCCATAATAGAGGCAAACAACCATGAGATGAGAAGAGCAGGTTGAAAAGGCTTTTTGTCTTCCAGTGGTGGATTTGATTTTGATGATGGTACCAATGATGCAGATATAAGAGATAAGGGTCAAGAGAAAGGGAACAATCACAAAAATAAAACTCATGAGAAAAGTGATGATTTCAAGGAGACTTGTGTCAGAACAGGACAGTTTTTCCACTGGATAGAAGTCGCAGAAGTAATGGTCTATGACATTAGGGCCACAGAAGGATAACTGAACCATGAGAACCACCAGAATGATGTTAAATATCAAACTATTTATCCATGTTGTGGCCATAAGCTGGAAACAGAATTTCCTATTCATAATATTAGCATAGAGCAACGGGCTACAAATTGCCAAATAGCGGTCATACGACATTGCAGATAAAAGATAGGTCTCTATAGTTGTACAAAGTGCAAGAAAATGATATTGGGCTAGGCATCCATGCACAGTGATGGTTTTCTCACCAGTCAGCAAGTTTGCTAACAGTTTGGGCAGGAAGATAGAACTATAGCAAGTGTCCAGGCCAGACAAATTTCCCAGGAAGAAATACATTGGGGTGTGAAGATGCTGATCAGCCACAACAAGTAGACAGATGAGGAGGTTTCCAGTTATGGTCATCAGATATATCACCAAGAAGAACCAAAAAAGAAAAGGCTGCAGCTCAGGAAAAGTCCCCAGACCCAGGAGGATGAATTTTCTGATGCTTGTCCAGTTTCCTTTCTCTATATCCTGCATTTCTGCCAGTTTTCAAATGTCACATAAATTCTGGAATTTATAAGAAAAAGAAGACCAGATACAGACTTCTGAAGTATCTTTTATTCCTCCATTTGTCTGTCTATCTATCTTATGTATTGATATATAGATCTATATGGAAAAATTAACCAATATATAGCAGAACAAATAGATTTACCTCTCTCCCTCTCCTTCTCCCTCTCTCATATCTGGATAATGTGGCTAATTGTAGCTGGAACAATATGGCTAAAAGCAGCATAATAACTCACTGTTCTCTTACCTATTTTGCAGAAGATATCAGATACTTATAATAGAATTGTGCAATATGTTTCTGGGGATTAGGCACTTCTCTTTCTTTTGTTCCTCCCCAACATATTTCCTATCAATCATCATTTTTTCCTAATTCATTGATTATATGCCACTGAGTCTGTGTTGATTCTTAGCAAATGCATAGATAGACCTTCTCCAGGATCATTAAAATGTTGCTATTTTCTATTAATTTTTAATATCTATCTCTGAAAACATCTAAGATTTCTGTTGGTTACTGTAAGCAATGTGTAATTTTGGCAGAAATGCAACTAAATCTACTGCTGTACAAAGAAAGATTTTTCTAACAAATCTTAAATTAATTTCTTCTACAAATGGCATTACTCAAGAAGTCCAAGAATCCACAATAAAAGAGATTCCAAAGTAATTTGTGAATGATCCTTTGCAAGGATCCAAAAGGATATCTTCCCAAAAGGAGAATACCATATATTTGATCAAAAATCAGTTCAATTCTTTGTTCCAAACACTTTGGATTAACTAATAATTCCATGTTAACATTTTATTTATAGCTATAGGAAGCAGGTTGCACAAGGAAATTGTTAATAATATTCTAGCAGCTTTATGTAAAAACAGACTGCTAGATAAATAAAATAAAGTGAGACAAATAAAATAATAATAATAAAATAAATAAAATAAAATAAAACAAAACAAAAATAATAAAGTAAAATAAAATAAAATAAAATAAAATAAAA